GCTTCAGTCACGAACCTTTTGTTAATCACAGGGTTGGTCCCACCTTCTCCTCCATCCATTGTGGAGCAGCCTGTACAGAGAAAACAGTTAAGACTAGGATCACTCTGGGTCTTCTGCAGAGACTCATTTGAAGATACGCAGACAAGCATTGCCCAGAAGCCCCAGCAGAGGCCTTGGACAGGGTCACCTAACCTCGAGAGGCAGGATTGGGGCAGCGGTTATAAATTTCCTGGCTCCACCTTGTGCTTTTTAATCTACTGTAGGAACTGTAGAAAGATGTGAAACATGCAGAAGTTTGGAATAAACTGTGTCAGTCTTTAAAGGTGCCACCGGACTTTCATTTCATTTCATTGGAAAGGTCTGGGGGGGGAGTCAAAAGTCTGCAGCACTGATCAGCCCCGAACTGTACAGTGTGTATTGTATATACCCACCCTTAGTATACTATGCACGTCCCCAGATGTGATCAGACCCAAAGGCACACTTTTCACGTTATAAACTTTGCAGAAATAGGTTACGATCCCCAAATGCCCATGTGACCACAAAGCACTAGCTCGCAGGAGACAGTATGATGAAGTGGTTAGAGTGCTGGACTGTGATCAGGGATACCCTGCTGTGCTTTGCACTGGCTGACCTCAGCGATCACACAACTGGCAAGGATATCTTTTCGGCTTGTTCATCAGAAATGTGAGATTGAGCACGGTCACCTGCAAGGTTTCACCACTTGCCGTGAACAACAAACGCGGAGGGGAAGATCGGTCAAAACAGTCAACCGATTCTCTGACATGACCTACATAGCAATAATTTCTGTACCCTGTTTCTTTGATGTTTCTCACCTCCATGAACTGTAATACCTTTCCCCTTCTTTTAACTCAAATTACACAGGCGTGGTAACTCAATCCAGGTAAGCACATTTGTGTAAAACGTCTCTATTTACAAATTTGCTTGCCATGTGGGAAGCTATTTTCTGGATGCTAACCTTGGAATTTCAGCAACCCACTAACCAACATAGGACACATTTGTAGGAAGGAAAAACTGCTGGGCCAGAGAGACATTTTGAATGCCAGGAATGTGTCACCATTCTGAGCAGGCAGAGTGTACAGTGAATCAAGTCACTGAAGACAGTTGAGGCCTGCAGGTTTGGTTATGGATCTCTTTGACCAGCCAATGTCGACTGCTCCAGCCAGAGAACCTTGTTTGTCCTCTGTTTGTACTCTTGTGTCAGGAGAGGCAGACATGCACTAGCTTACAGCTAATAAATCACAGGGAAGGTACAGATGCAGCACTGGCTCCATGCTAAGCAGGGATAATAAACTGGGAGCCAGATCTGGCAGCACGCACTCACTCCTTCTCTTGGCAACAAGTCTTCCCCCAACCATAGATAACCGGCTCATTCAGATGGGCAGCAAACACAGTCACAGGTAACAACAGATCCCATTTCAGGGCCAAACTAGATGAGAACATGGCAATTCCATGGGTTTAAACATGGAACTGACCAATAACATGGGAAGAAGGCAGTGCGCATGTATGTGGAGGGGATTGTATTCAAGACACAAAAGGGGACTTGATGAAGGGTGCCAAGCCCCCACCACTCCTGCTGATAATCGTCCCGTAGCCTTGTGCAACCAGCCAAGACCACTTCCAGTATCAGCACTCAGCCAAAATGAAAAGTACTGAGAGGAGGAGGAGGAAGAGGAGGGGGAGGAGATTGGATTTATACCCAGCCCTTCACTACCTGAAGGAGTCTCAGAGTGGCTTACAATCCCTTTCCCTTCCCCTCCTCTCCCCACAACAGACACCCTGTGAGGTAGGCGAGGCTGAGAGAGCTCTTTCAAGAACTGCCCTTGAGAGAACAGCTCTGAGAGAACTTGTTGTGACTGACCCAGGGTCACACCAGCAGCTGCAATCAAACCCAGTCCTCCCAGATTAGAGTCTATGCTCCTAACCACTACACCAAACTGGCTCTCACACCAAACTGGTAAACTGTGGGGAGTGGGAAGAGGTTACCAGTAAGTCACAGAACACATGTTTTATGGGCAGAAGAATTCTCCTGAGTCTCTTTCTTGTGTCTGGACATGCTTAAGAGTAATTATTAGAGATACTTAAAATATCTTTGAAAAAGATAGAAAAAATGTGCCACTGTGGAAGAGACAAAGGTCCTTCCATCCCTTAGATTCTTTGATTCACCAGCTCTTCATTCAGCTGTTTTCTGAAGGACTTATAGATTGCATCTTAGGCAACAACAGAACTCAGTGTCTTTCACTCAGAATATTGTAATTTGCACCAAAGAGCATACCAGAGCTCCTACAGAAACTACTCAAGACATGTGTATGATCCCAACATATACGCAGAATAAATCAGAAGTTTTCTGTTGGTCTTACAGGCTGAAACGGAAAGAAAGGAAGCAGTTTCTTGGGAACAAAAGGGGACAAGTTCTTTTTAGGTCAAAACAAGCACTTTTCAGAAAACAAGAGGCAGCCTGTGGAGACATCACAACACAGGCATAAGGAACACAGCACACTGGAATAGCCTGCTGAGCATCAGCCGCATTTAGGAGCCACCCTCAGGCTGTCAAGCATCTGCCCCTGTTTTGCACATTCTGCTGTAGTCTTGCAGTCACTAATTTGGATGCTCGTAAAGAGTAAAAAACATCTCCGGGCAAAACCAACAAGCACAAGGAAGTGGGGGAGATCCAATGAGTTGAGAGGGTGAGAGACTTCCTAAAGTAGAAGGACACACTGTACTTGTCCAAGATCCTCTTTGCTAGTTTTCCATATACAGCATTTGCTTGGCAACACCCACAGTCTGCCAGAAAACCTTGATTCACTGTGTAAGAAAGACAGTTCCTTAGATTTGGTTACACTCTAGCGCCTGCTACTTCTGAAGATCTCGCCATACACTAGCATGACCAAGGAATGGAACCCGGGAATAGACTATGCAGGTAGGGGCAAGTTTGATTTTCAATGCCCAGGCCCACTGGCTGATTCAGAGTGCAAGGTTAAGACTCCTGAATGCAACAGCACCCCTTTTACTTTCTCCTTCATAACTAAATGATTACCATTCACTCCTCCGGGGGAAGTTAATGGCACTGGCATGGCAAAGTTTACACCAGCTGGTATCCCTGATAGCAGGTGAAGTGGTCATCAGTGTTCCCTCTAAACTGAGTTAGTGTGATCTACCTCACAGTTTTTAGCCTCCAGTTCACATATTTTTGTCTTAGATCAGGAAGGATGGGTCCTGAAAAAAACTAATTTATACAGTAGCCAAATTGCTCACTCACAACTTTAATGCCAGTAGCTCACAAAGTAGACTTTTTGCTCACAAGACTCACAGCTTAGAGGGAACGTTGGTGGTTAGGGATTCTGCAGGAATATGCAATGTAAGTCTTCTTCTCATACACCCATTTGACTAAACAGGATGTACATTTTACTAGCTTGTAGCAAAACGAAATCATGGACTCATGGTCTGAGAAGAGAGATATCAAATATATAAGAACAATGTCCTTCTTTTCCCTTGTTAAATCTTGTGGCGAGCGTGTAAATGTTTTTTCTAGCCTTGCTTGTCACATATTTGTACTGCCAGCGCATATTACCAATCACAGTGCCTCCTTTCCCACACATTACCCAGTTCTCACCACTGCCCTATTTTAACATACTCTCTTGGTTAGCATTCACAATATCCTCCTAGCTTAGAAACAAAAAAAGCTATGACAGAATGGAGGTTAAGGCTACACTCCTGCGCACACTTGATTGGCAGTAGGCCACCTTGAATGTAGTGGGACTTCCTTCCAAGTTAGAATTCATAGGAGGCAGCTTTAAAAAGACTGCATAGGAAACATCTGGAAGACCTCAGCTCTAATACCACCAGCACCATGAACTGACTTCATTTGGAATTCTTTCCTTGTTTATTCCCGCCTCCATCCCCCCATATCATTTTCCTTGTGTTAAAAGTTGAAACAGCAAGCTTCTCAACAGAAGTAATATTTATCTCCTGATTGTGTAAAGCACCATGCGCACTGAAGGTGATATACAAAACACAGAGAGTGGTCCACTGGTAAATTTAGACACCACAGTTTACTCTGCCTGGCAGCAGCTCTATGTTGAGGGTTGATTCACACATTACACAGCCTACATGCTCCCCACAGATCCTGCCAATCAATGGTGTGGTGAAAATTTCCACACATTAGAACTTAACTCACAGGCACAGAACTAAGTTCCAAGCATGGAACTCCCAGGGCACATCTGATTGACAGGACCCATGGCAGCTACATGAGAAGCGCAAAGACTATGTGATGTATGACAGATCCCTGTCAATGTCAGGTTGAAAGGCAACCCAAAGATCCTTTTGACTAGAGAGGCTGGGGATTGAACATGCAAATAATGTGCTGTACCTCTCTAGTGTAACAATAATTTTTTAAAAACCTAGGAATTGACACTCCACGACATAATAATAATGTAGAGACTTATTAACATCATTATAACGATCTATTAGGTTCAGCCGCTTATGAACTACAACAGAGGAGCGCATAACGCTACCTTGCAGGGTTGTTGTACAGATTTTACAGGACTCCTATGGATAACAATAACTATTACTATGAAAAATGATACCTTAATTCTCCTCCCCTGAGGCTGGAGGCTGACCGGGGAGGGAGCCTGCTTGACCAGAGGCCGCGCCACAGCACCCACCTCCCCACACCGGGGCCACAGCCGCTGACCCCAAAACCCCCTTCCCCCTCTTCCTTTCCCCAAGCCCAACCTTTGTGACCAGTCTCCCGGCCTCACCAATGACACGCCTTCCAGCCCTCTTCTGCCCCGCCTCTTCCGTCCCCTCCACCACCCAATCAGGCTCAACCTTCCGTTTCTTCGCCATCTTGCCCAACCACTGCTTCGGTTACAAACAAAACCCTACCGCGGTCTTAAAAACCGGACTGAGGATAGGCCCGTTCATTAAACATTAAGAAAGCCCTCCCACCATGATTGGTCCGCCCATCAGAGGGCTAGGCGGGGCCTCCCAGTGGCAGGACCGCGGAAAGGGGTGTGACTAGTTGCCCCGGGATACAGAGCGGGAAGGAGGGAGAAAGAAAGAAAAGAGGGAGGAGCTGGCTGGCTGGCTGGCTAGGGGGCGGAGCCGTTGTGCGCGGAATGGGAAGGCTCGTTGGGGCCTCCTCCATCTTACCAGTCCGTCGCGTTGCCGTTGCCTGAGGAGAAGATGGCACAAAGGGGCTGCGCAGCCACCACCACCACCTTGTCGACCTGCGGCCTGGCAGACTGAGTGAAGGAAGGGGTGAGGCAACGAAGGGGCTTTCCTGAGCGTCGCCTGGGTGAAAGATGGGGGGGAGCTTGAGCCTGAGGAGAAAAGGGGGTGTGGGGGAGCTGCTCGTGTCCTTTGAGGGAGGCCGAAGCCAGAGGGAACGAGAGAAGCAGGCTCTCCTGGCATGGGGTGAGGAGGGGAAGCCGGTAGTGGAGATTATGCTTCGGAGATTCCTGGGGATTTGGGGTGGGGAGGTGCCGGGGGAGGGTGGTCTGCTGCGGGGATGCGATGCACTAGCAGAAACTCTCCAGAGCTGCCATTTCCCCCAGCCTAACTGCTGTGTGTTGTCTGCAGATCGGTTTCGATTCCGGGAGATCTCCAGGCCCCACCTGGAGATTGGCAACCTAAGGGCGGTGCCTGGCACTGTATTAATCTTCGTGCATCGACCGCGAGGTGCTTGTGATTGAGAAAACTAAACAACCCTAGGGTTGCCTTGTCTTGTTCAATGGCTTGCTCTCTTCTCACACACGCCCCTCTTTCTCCCTGCTTGCAGTCATGCAGGTGGGTAGGGAAGAACCAGCGTCACTGTCAAGAGATGGGGGGGGGGTTGGTTCCAGGTGGGGGCTGTAGCAACCCCTCCCCCCCAAAAAAGAGGGAAGGAGAGATTTTGGCATCTTTATAAAAAGGCTAACAGATCCGCTGTGGCTAAAGCTACTCTTGCAGCTGTCAGGCAGGGCGGCTTCTCCTTTTAATAAAGGAGAGTGTGCCTTGGGCTTACAAGGAAGGTAACTGAGAGGGTGTGTGTATGAAATGTATAGGATGCTTTGAAGTACTACAGGCTTGGCTGATGAGAACTAAGAGCCACTGTGGCGTAGCAAGCGTTCCACTGTGGAGATGCAGGTTCAGTTTTGTGCTCCGTGATCTTGGACCAGTCATTCTCTTTCAGCCAGCCTATTGCACAGGATTGTTGTGAGGAGAAAATGAAGGAGGGGGAGGTCCCTGTACCCTGTTCTGAGCTTCTGAGAGGAAAATTGGAATAAAAATGCACTAAACAGAAATAATGATAATCACAGAGTCTTGGGGTACTGAAGGACTACCCACCACGTATGATTTGGGGAGCTGGACCCCACAAGTATGTGAAGCAGTGGATTCTGATGCATGTGCCACAGTAAAGAGGTTGGTCTTTAAGATATGTCCAGTTTGTTGTTACAAATGCCTTTATTGCTGCACGTGAACCTTTTGTAAGACAGAGCCCACTTCTTCAGGTGTTTGTTGCTTTTGCCTCATGAAAACTTATGCTGTAACAAATGTGTTGGTCTCCAAGGAGCCACAAAATCTTTGCTATTTTTGAGGCAGCAGGATACAACAAAGCAATAATGTTGCTTTTGTATTTGATGAGCATTTTTGTGCTTGGGGTACGGAAGGAAAGCCCTTGAATTGTGTGTGTGGGGGGAGATTTCCTAAATTATGATGTTTAGCTGTCTTGAGCCTCTGAGGTCAGGTGGAAGGAGAGTATCACATAGCATCTGAGGCAAGGATGTAAAGTATTAAACATTTAAATGATTAAACTGTAAGGATTCATTTATTATTTGTGTTGGGGTGAGGGTGTGTTTATACACACAGGGTGTGTGTGTATATTGCTGTAAATGATAAGATATTTTCCAGTGGGTGGCAAACTGGCAAAAGGTGTACCTGTGCATTCCAGGACATGGAATGTGCCTGCAGAAGGTGTGTTACGGTACTGGCTTACAGTTATTTGTACACAAAACTGACACCAGAGCACATTAACATGATTTTTTTCTTAACAAAAATGAGTAGCAGAGCTGATATGCATGAAGCTTGTTAGTGCTTAAGTGATTTAAAAGTAGATTATTTAAGAGTGTATGAAACAAAATGTATACATTATATGTTAGCTTTTTAAGGTGCTTTAAGGCTTTCTTTTGTGTGTCTTTCTGCTGTAACAGGTAAGGTGGCTTCCATTGTGGGATATGTTGGACTGTACAGGCTAATAAAAAGTCATTCAGGATAATTTCAATAATTCATACTTCCAATCTAGTTGATTTTGTTAGGCCAGAATGACAGTTGGGAATCTATTCAGGGTGAGTTGATAATGTTGGAGAAGTGCTTCTCCAGAGATGGACTATATTCTAGTTATTCATCTTTGGAACTATATTCCACAGGTGCCAACCTTCATAACTTCTTCCTCTTCGTAGATCTTGTTTTACTTTTCTGTTTTTGTGTCACCCAGCATATCCAGCCTGCAGACACAGTCAAAAATGCATTCTCAAATCTTGTAACCTCACCACTGACCAATCCATGCCTGTTTAGAGAGTAAAAAACCTGAAGTAATGTTAGCTTCTGTTCTTGTATTAAGTCAGTTGGCAGTGAAGAAAAGTATTGATGAAGGTGTATACTTCTCTCTGAAGGAGGAAGTGCCCCTGCTTTTCATCTCTGTTTGGACTTGTAATCATGCATTCATCATTGAGGACAAAAGTTCATTACTCTTACCATTCTTTGACTGTATGAGTAAAAAGGTATTTGAGGGTTGTTTATTCACTGCCCTATGTAATGTTGAAAATATGTGCCTTTAAGATGAGATTTCTCCAGAGTTGAAGAAGGTAGGTCATGAAGGCAGGGGGTGCATTTACTATGAGTAAAAGATTCCACAAGAGCCAGGGCAAAACTAAACTAATGATGTAAGGAATGGCATGCAGAGAATCCCTGAGGGGAGCATTCTTCCTCTGGAGATAAGATGAGAAGGTTTGCAAGGGATTTCCCCCCCCCAAAGGTAGAAGGGGAGGGATGACGTTACCACACTGTTGGTTATGTGCCCTGTGATGATGGACAGCTGATTCTCTTCTCCCTTTAGGTTAATAATTCCAAAACTGTGTGCCCCAAGAAATCAATTTGCGAGCCCTAAGTACCCACCCATAGAGAAAGCTGCCTACTGTCTGCATGTTTTACTTTTACCTTCCAGGTGGCATCCATTAAAGAAGCCCCCCATTCCTCTATATAAAATCTGATTGGATCCTTTCATCCTTCCCAAGAGACAGCAGAATTAGCTGCTGTTTGAGGAAGTACCTGTTACATCTTTGCATGAATTGCCTATGTGGGCTTTTTTCCTCCCAGCCAGGAGACATACCCAGAGCTGTGATTCATGTACCCGGGGAGGGGGGAATCATCCAGTCCTCCACCCAGAATGTTTTATTGTCAGTGTGTAAGCAGAAATTGCCCTCTCCAAGTGAATTCTGTGTACTTCCAAATTTTAACTAGTGAGAAGGCGCATATGTCTTGGAAATTTTTAGAAACACTGTACTGTAGTCTTTCAACAAACTGGGTAGTTTATGAAGGAGAAAAAAGCAACTGACTCCCTTTAACTGGAAATAACAGTGTATTATTCTCTTGTTTTCTTTGGTGCTGAAGAAATTAATACTTCTTGAAGTCTGAGGTGACCATGTCATAGATTGGGGGGACGGTTCCAAGATTTTCAGGGTTTTTTTAAAACATTTTTCTGTGTTATAGCTAATAAACGTACCCGAGTGCTGCCTGTTATTTTAGTGCTTATAATGAAAATTAGGTTGAGCTGGTTGCTTCAGAGAAGTTGAGTTCCAGTAGATGAAAAGCATCACTTGCAGCTTCTTTTTTAACGTGTCAGAGATGACTGTCGTGTTGCATCTGATACTTTACCAGGCATGTTTGTGCCTTGGTTACTTGTCAGATGTGGTACAAAATGGTTCCAGAGATACTTCTTATTGGGCAAGATATTGACGTAGTAGGAAGCTTTTGTGTTGCATGGAATTCTTCAGTTTGCTCTTTCTTGAAGAAAAGGGGTTTTCTGTAGGATTTGAAATCCTGCTGCTGTATGGCCCATTTGGGATCCTCCGTCTTGTGTGTGACAACTTTGCTTAGATCTACACTGATTTTCTATTCTTTTGATGGACCCTTCATTGATTAATCAAAAATGGCAGGAAGTCAGCACCAATCACATCTGTATAGACATCAGTTCCCAACGTTCTGACACATGTGAATATGAACTACAAACTGGGATGGTAGTATGCAAATAGCTTATGAAGATAAGGTTGATTCTTTTCTTTTTTTTAATGCCCGTGGTTACTAACTGCAGGAACCAATGCTAGTGGTAGCTTAAAATGCATCTATTGATGATGATCACCCATATTCACTCCTAAGTGGAATAGGGAAACATTATAATTGGGATGCTGTTGTGGTGAAAATCACAAAAGACAAGAAAAGGAGGGGGGTCTTAACCCAAAAATAATTAAGAACCAAAAGGTTAAGAAGTCAAAATGTGAGAGCCCACTATTGGCTCCATACTGCATCTCAAAAATAATAATAATTGGACCTAGACAGGAAGGTACACAACTGAATTACCATTCAAGACATTTGTACCTGACCAGGGCAGCAGGTTATTTAAAATGAGACCTCTGTATTATATCTCTGTCTTAGGTCACAGATATTGATTATAAAACAGTTTCAACTTGGTCCAAGTTTAAGAAATAACTGTATCATTATTGTTAATGTCGGGAGGTTGTGTAACAACATTGTTTGACCACTGAGGAAGGCCAGTTGGCCAAAACACATTGGTCAGGATCACAAATGGCCTATGTTGGTGATAATTGTATGATTTTATTCTGATTTGAGGCTATTTGGGCCTACATTTTAAGTTTAGATATAGAACTATTGGGCCCTCACATTCTGACTTCTTTAACCTGCTGTTGTGGTGAAACCAGAACTCCGATGCCCCAACACAGGAAGGTCTGAACTTCTTTGACAGGCATCTCATGAGAGTATGATGTCTGTCTACAGAACATACAGAAACACAATCCTTTACACTGTTTTTTGTTTGTGTACTAGAAAATTGGGAGGTAGGGCTGTGAAAAGAATATGTAAGCATATAGGTGAAAATGAACAGCACTTCTACAAATAAGGACACGTAGCTCTTAATTATTGACTTAAATTAGTAATCCTCAGTCATGCCCCTTCCATTGCTTGCTGTTTAATGACATATGTTACTG